CATTTTATTTAACCCAATGTATCCAAAATATGATTTCAGTTTATAATGAGTGTCTTTAAAGAATTAAACCCAGTGTATTTTACACTTCTGCCACACCTCAGTTCAGAGTGGTTATACCTGATACGGGCAGGTTCTCAGCAGCCACACAGGGCAGCAGGGTGCCATAGTGGACGGCACATCTGGCTACATGGGATGATTCTTCTAGGTAAATGGACTTATGAAGAGGTTAAAAACCCTTGCCAAGGGTCACTGATACAGCTCAGCAGCACAGTGTCTGCCTGATAAGTGGGAGGCCCTGAGTTTGAGTCTCGGTACAAAAAAATCAAAAAGACAAAAAACCCCAAACCCTTGTCAACCATTAACCATAATCCATAACCAAAGAGTCAGGTGATGAAGTGCTAGGGAAAGATACTTGGCTCACGCTGAGGTAGGAGCTGAGGAAGGACAAGAGGACAAGTAAAGGACAGGAAGCAGTGGAGCAGGACCTGAGGAGCAAGGAGGGCTGTGCCAGCCCAGTGGGAAACCAACACATTAAGATGGCACTGCCCCTCCAGAGCCCCGGCACAGGAAACCACAGGTGCATGACCCTGCCTGAGTCCAGTCCCACTTGCATTGTGGCTTTAGGCCCCCAGCCCCTGATCCTGGCTTTGTACACTGTGATAACTTTCTGGGTTAATAACCCCCTTTCTTTATAGGTGGGCAGTGTCAGATGCCCCGATGGACCATGACTCCGGTCAGTCCCCAGGTCACATCCTCCCATAATCCAGGGCTTTAGGAGGCCCAGCGCCTGCCCCGTCAGGTGGGTGCTGTCTCACTGTGCAGTGTAATTTCGCTTCTTTCATTTTTAATAAACCAGGAGCTGAGGATTTAGCTCAGTGGCACAGCACCTGCCTGGCAAGTATGAGTCCTCCATTGGATTCCTGGTACCTAAAAAATTAAAAAAATAATGAGAAAAGAACAATTTCATTTTTAATAAATCATACTCTCATTGCTCCTTCTGAGTATCCTGCTTGATTCTTTGGGATCCAAGAAGCTACAAACAGGAACCCTCCACCTGATACCAGGAAGGATTTATGGAGCTTTTTCCTACAAAGGAACAAACAATCTTTGTTATATAATTCAAAGCAGTTCTGATTTTAGTAATACAACGGACTAGGCTATGAGGATAAACTTCTTCACTACAATCTAATGATTCTGGGCCTAGGATTTAGCTCAGCAGCTCAAGTGCTTGCCTGGTGACTGCAAGGTCATGAGTTCGATCCCCGGCACCAAAAAACAAAAACAAAACAATGATCCTAGGGATAAAATCATTGGTAGCTTGGAAGAAAAAATGAGATAGAAGCCCAGGCATAAGTGGCTTTCATCAAGGCGGTGTTTGGAGATGGTAGTGAATAAAAGCAGCCCACGGCCTACCCTAAGTGGGAACGGTCACTGCTGAAGAGCTGGGCCTCGGTGTTACCCACTCCATGCCTGGGTAGGCCGGAAACATGCTCCTGTGCTCCTGCCCAGGGAATGGTGAGGAAGGCTGCTTTGGTGGTGACCAGAATAGCCAGAGGAAAGAAAAGTGACCCCTGAGGAGTCAGAAGTAGGGCGCTGCAGGTCTGCACCCCCAGTGCATCATCTGGGTGGGCCAAGAACTTTGAGCCCTAGGTATGAATTTGCATAGATCTGAACAGAGTCACTCGGCAAAGCAAACACTTTTCCTTTCAGAAGGATCCAACCTTTACTCAGGCTCAAAGAAACCCCAGAAATCACTTTCCAAGGATGTGACACACACAAGGAAAAAAAAAAATACCATGAGCATGAAGCAGCAGAAACTACAATGGAAGCAGGACTGTAAACTTCAGATACTGGGATTACAGGGCACAGATTATGAAATAGTTGGTTCCCATTTGCTTTCTTTTTTTGAGACAGGGTCTCGCCACACAATTCAGTCTGGTCTTGAGCTCACTTCATAGCAGAGGCTGGTCTCAAACTTGCAATGATCCTCCTGCCTCAGTCTCCCAAGTGCTAGGATTACAGGTATGTGCCAAGATGCCCAGCTCCTCCTTTTAAAGTAATGAAAAGACATCCTTTATTATTTTTTTCTGGGTGCTGGGGACTGAGCCTCGGGGCTCACACACTCTAGGCAAGCATTTTACCGCTGAGCTACACCTCAGCCCTACTTCATTTTTACCCGACGCGTATACCCTGCAGTCATTTGCAAGCTTGCCTGGGAGTGGGGCTCTCGCTCCAGGTAGATGGCGTCAGAACTGATTCATAAGGCGCCCAGCTCGGGTCTGCAGAGAACTGGAGAACTTTTGTGTGGGTAGAACTCCCACATCTCTGGTGGCCAAAGTGCGTTGGTGAATGTTGTGAGAACACGAAAGGGAATTGCACACTCACTAGAATGGCTAAAATTAAACAGACTAACAATATCAGCACAATTGCAGCTACCTGGGAACCCACGTATCACTTGTGGAAATGCAAACTACAAAAATGCGATCACTTTGGAAAGCAGTTGGGCAGTTTCTGAGAAAGGTAAGCATACAACGTACATTTAACATGTGACTCAGCAACCGAGCTCCTGTGGGCACCCAGCAAACCCAGAAAATATAGCTGTAAAGGAAAAGAAGTAAGTTTTCTTCTTCTGTCGCTAAGTGTATAGCAAGATCCCTACCACAAAAGACAGTAACAAGAACATATGGAATAGTTTTTATGTGATGAGATTCTTCAAAAGAAATGCCAGGTGTGATGATGGTGCGTTCCTATAATCCTAGCACTCTGGAGGCTGAGGCAGGAGGACTGCTGTGAGTTCAAGGCCAGCCAGGGCGACACAGTGCAAGGTCAGCCTGAGCTATGTAGCAAGACCCTGTCTCAAAAAACGAAAACAAAACCAAACAAACAAAAAAAGACATGAAGGGCCAGGGATATAGCTCAGTGGCATGAACACCTGCCTGGCAAGTGCAAGGTCCTAAGTTCAGTTTCCAATACCAAAAAAAGAAATACTTTAAAAAAGAAATGAAGACCCACAAAAATAAATAAAGTTGTGAGTTTTTATGTCTGGGGAAGAGTGGATAGTATACAGCCACAGGACTGAAGCACAAGGCATGACCTAGTTGTGAGAGGCTGTTTGCTCAGTTCTTAAGGTGTCTCTTTGTCTTATTTGGGCACAGGGAAGACACCTGTCAGATAAGAATCCTGTGACAGGCTGCTAGGAACAGGGGACGGGTGAGAATGATTTGTCCCTATGCTATCTTCCTGAATTCCAAGGTGCCATTTTTTGGGGTAGGATGTTCTGATCTCCATCATATGGAGACTCATATGGAAATATTCCCAGAAACTTTCTTCATACTAACCAGAGGCTGAAACATCATAAATATCCGTCCTGAGCTGAACAGACTAACAACTTATACTATATCCACATCACGGAATACTACCTAGCAGTGAAAAGGAATGAGTCCTGAAGAATTAAACATGATAGATCTCAAAAACAGGATGAATAAAAGAAGCCAGACATGGCCTGGGGATGTAGCTCAGTAGTCAAATGCTTGAAGGAAGGCCCCCTAAACAAACTTCAAACTAACAAACAAAAGCAAACAGGCAGGCCATGAAAGAGCATGATTTATATGATGAAGCAGAAGAGATAATTCCAATATATGGTGACAGAAGACAGATCTCTGCTTTTAAGGAATAGGAATGGGGGTTACCTGGAAATGGGCATAAGGAAATTATGAGGATGCTGATGGTGACACAGTATAGACTTGTCAAGGCTCATTGACACTATGCTTTAAATGGGCGCACTTTGTTGAATGTAAATTAAAACCTCAATGAAGTTTTTTTTTTTTTGTCTTTTTGAGACAGGGTTTTACCATGCAGTTCAGGCTGGCCTCAAACTCACACAGATCCTCCTGCCTCAGCTTCCCAAGTACTGGAATTACAGTCTCGTACCACCATGCCTGGCCCAACAAGATACTATTTTAAAAATTCCTGGAATTAAAAAGGAAGCCAGGAAGCCAGCCATGGGGCCCATACATTAATCCCAGCAATAAGAGGTTGAAGCAGGAGGGTCATAAATTTGAGGCCAGCCTAGACTACAATGTGTAGCCATCTCAAAAAACAAAACAAAATACAGTGAATCAAACAGAAACGTGAGCAGAGAAGCTGAAATGTCTAACTAAACTCTGAAGATATGTCCAAATGCATTCATAATTAGAGACAGATACATTAAAATATTTATTAATCTTACTAGGTAGGAACAAATCCTTTCTATCTTAAGCTGTTCCAGAAAACAGAAAAAAAAAAAACCCTATAAAAGAACAAAAAATGTGGGGGTCTGGGGCTATAGCTCAGTGGCATAAATGCCCGCCTAGCAAACTCAAGGTCATTAGTTCAATTCCCAGTACACAAACAAACAAACAAAACAAAAATGTCTAATTATTTTCTTTACTCATCATTAGGTTCATGGTGAGTTCGTTTAGGGCAAGTGTACTAATTTATTTAATGAGTTACTAGTTGTTTCAGAGAAGTGGCTTGCTTTCTGCTGAAACTCTTTTTTTCTTACAATCTGTTATTTTGCTCTGTTGTGGTACAACCCCTGACTACAACAGTGGTACTGGGGCCACTGATGAACCCAGGGCTTTACGCTCCTTAAGCAAGCACTATCACTGGACCACATGGCTGGTAAAAAAAAAAAAAAAAAAAAAAAAGGTTACAACTTTCTTGTTTTGTTTTTGAGGTATAATTTACATATTATAAAGTTCATTCATTTACAGAAATGCACACTGCAATTCAGTGGTCGGGGTAGATTTGCTGAGTTGTGAAATCACCACTGTAGCACAGGTTCACAACCCTCCCATCTTTCCAGTAAGATTCCTCATCTTCCCTTTACAGTCAACCCTGCTTTCTTCCGCACCTACCCAGGAAATCTTTCCCTCCTTGAGGTCTTCACCTTTTCTATACGTTTCCTTAGTAATAAAATCACAGGTCATGAAGTTTTTCGGGTCTGGCTTATGACTCACCTTATTTTTCTGCGTCAGGGCTGGTCGGGGCCACCTCCTCCACGTGGCTCACGCGGCAGAAGCAACAGGGAGACCTAGCTTTCGGCTTGCTCACCGGCCCACTCTCTGACAGCAATCCGCCGAGGCATTTCCTTCTTTCAGTGACAGAGACCTTCTGACATCCCAAATATGAGATCCAAGCAGAGAGCAAACCTCCAGCAGGCGCCCTCCGCGCCCATCACCGCGGCGCTGCAGGCGGACTTCGCGGGCTTCCCCAGCGCCAAACCACGCTCAGTCGCCGCGCAGGGATGTTTTCGGGCAACGTACTGAGAAAGGGGAGAAAACACTCGGTGTTGACGTTTTCCGTGTCCCGCAGGTGCAGGGACTGGAGCGTGGCCTTCGCTCTTCATAGCTGGCCTTGCAGGCTGTCACCCCCCTTTCCCCCGCATTTTCAGTCGGGAAGCCGACTGTAGATTCAGGCAAAAGCCCTATAATCTGTCTACGCAAGCAGGTAACTGTAACAGTGAAGTGAGTCAAGCCGCCTGGCTCGAGGATGAAGATTGTCAAAGAAGTCTTTAATTTTATCTCTGGCGCGCTCGTCTTTTTAAATTGGGGAATAAATTAGAAAGTTAAAAAAAAAACTTAATTTGAAATATTTCCACTAACCCATCACGAACCAAGTCTTAGTAAGTCCCAAAGGAGCTCTTCTTTCCAGCCTTGGAATCTCACTGGGCAGGTGTGGGGCTCGCGCGCGAAGCGGGAAACCAGCGGGTCACCCGGGCTCCCGGGACCACCGCGGCCGGCAGGGCGCAGCGTTTTTGCGCACTAGGAGGCAGCACCATGCCGAGCAGCCGAGGGGTCCACAGCGCGCCGGCGGCCACGACGTGTATCCTGGGGCGCGTGCGCTCGCCCGCCTGGCGTCCGCGCCTGAAAAGCCGGGGGCGGGGGGGGGGGGGGCAGGACCGGCTGGCAGGGCGGCCAAGGGGTGGATTGCAGGGGCTACTGCGGGTTCGCCTTCTCGGCACCACCGCGATCGAGGGGCGCTTGCAAAACGCCCACTCGCTGACCCTCGAGTTCCCATATCAGTTTTGAGAGCCATGCGGCACAGCCGGCCCCCATAACCGGGCAGTCCCCTAAACTCTCTTAAAACCAGCTAGTGGCTTGTGGTGTGAGGTGCGCGGAGACTACAGTTTCCAGAGTGCCCTGCGGCGACGGGCGGAGCCGGGGAGCGCCCGCAGCCAATTAGGGGGTCTCGGGGCTCTGCCGGGGAGCCGCAGGTGGAGCCGCGCGGGTGGGCGGGCGCGGGGCTGGGTCCCCGGAACGCGTCTGCCGGCTCGGGGGCTGGGCTGTGCTAGGGGCGCGGCGCCAGCGCTGCGGAGGTGGCTCGGGGACCGCACCGCGCAGGGCGGGGACGCGGCCGCCTGCTTGGTTCCGGGTGCTGCCGCCGCGGCGCTGCCCAGAGCGCACTTGATCCAGGTCAGGCTGCGGAGCAGCCCCGAGCGCCGCGGCGTCCTCCGACCCCTCCTTCCCCTCGCGACCGATCCGTGGCTGGAGCCCGAGCCGGCGCCACCTCGCGCGCCCCCAGCCATGGCTTTCGCCAATTTCCGCCGCATCCTGCGCCTGTCTACCTTCGAGAAAAGAAAGTCCCGCGAATATGAGCATGTCCGTCGGGACGTGGACCCCAACGAGGTGTGGGAGATCGTGGGCGAGCTGGGCGACGGCGCCTTCGGCAAGGTTTACAAGGTGAGGGGCGCCGCGGTGGACGGCCCAGGCGCGCGGAGCGGCTCCGGAAGGCAGGGGCGCCGGCCCGAGTCAGCCTGGCCGCGGTTACGGAGGGTGCAGCGGGGTTCTCCGGCCTCGGTGACCCTTGCTTATTTTGGGAGGAACCTCACTTTGCTGGATTGAATCCTAAAGCGCTGAGCGCCACCTCTGGGCCCTACGGTAGCCCCGGTCCCTGCTCAGTTTCCGAGCACTTCCTGTGCATCCGGCACTGTGCTCGGCGCCTTGGGGTGGGGTGAGTGGGTTAGGGGCCGCAGTTGGATGCTTATAGGACTTCTGAGTCCGAGAAAGCCGGCCACCCGCGGCACTGTCCGTGACAGTACGATAAAAGGTACACTTTTAAAGCGAAGCGACACAGAGACTCTGGGAATTCCGAGGCCCTTGGGACCAAGTCGGTTACGCCAGGGAGGGTCGGGAGTGGCCCACGCACCTGAAGAGGGGACGAAGACAGGGAGCTGGGGAACGCAGAGTGTGCCCCGAGAGCGAGGGGAGAAGTGATGCTTGGAAAGGCGGGCTAGGGCTGGACACCGGGCGAGGCCAGGGTCCAGTGAATGCTGAACTGCAGGGAACTGATTTGATTCTGTACCCTTGAGTCACAGTTGGGGAGGCGCCCAGTCTGCAGTTACCTCTGCCCTGGAGGAAGACAGGGCTAAGTGCTTTTGCGAAGGGGTGGGTGGGGCAGAGCTGATTCAATCTAGAGGCGTTTTTGCTGCAGGACACATAGTCTGGTTTTTGCTTTAGTGAACCAGTTTTGAGACCCTGGAGTTGTTTAGGGCACCAAAAGCCTACATTTTGACCCCACCCTTTTCCTAATCCCTAATCTCCTTTCCTCTAGATTTTTTTTTTTTTTTTTTTTTTTTTTTTTTTTTTTTTGCCAGAGTCTTGCTGCGTTGTGCCGGTAGCTTTCTAGCTCCTGGACTCAATTCATCTCCTTCTTCAACCTCCTGAGTAGCAGCTGGGATTACAGTGGAGGGGCGAGCCCTCACCACTTGATATAGCCTAGGCAAATTTACTGGGAGACTCCCACGTGTTCAGCCGCTGCAGACCCCTGGAGAGTACCTCTTTCCTAAACCAGCCACATCACTCTCCTGGGGGCTTATATAGATTGATGCCGCTCTGACCCCAGAATTACCCTGTCAGGAGGCCAGGCAATAAAGAGTGCTTCTCCAGCATTCCTTCCCTCCCTCACCCTCTCCTGTCTCCAACAGGATTTGTTCTCTGACTTGAAATTGATCTGGAGCCTCTTTACCAAAGCGTGGCCCCTGGGATTACAGGAGTTACCATCTCACCTGGGAGCTGTTAGACCACCTACCGCAGACCCACTGAATTAGTCTGTCTGTAGTTTACTAGGATCCCAGGTGATTCCTACACAAATGAGTCTGAGAAGCTGAGATGTGTGCTCCAAAGGCTTAGAGAGATGTCAATTTTGAGGCCAACCAGGCCTGTTTTTGTCTTTTGTTACCTTCCCACCTCCCCCTCTGCAGCTGCCCTTTGCTGTTACTGAGTTAGGAACTGATTAGTTACTGGTTACTCGGTGTGCTCACCAGAGCAAAAGTCTGCCGGCCAGGGCTGGGGATTTAGCTCAGTGGCATAAGCGCCTGCCTGGCAAGTGTGCAGTTTTGAGTTTGATCCCTAGTACCAATAAAAACGGAAAAGACAAAAAAAAAAAAAAAAAAAAAAAAGTCTGCCGGTCAGAGTGTCCAGCCCCTGTGTGATGCAGTGGCTTTCAGATCGTCTTGATTCGCTATTCCTCTCCTCCTGAGGGTTTGCACACATTTTGAGAACCATCAGGCCAACACATCTTTCCCACATCTTTGCTTCTCAGCTGCATCCTTCTAGTGGCTCCAGGAAATGGTCCCCAGCCTCTCAACTCTGCCTGACATCCTGCTAATGTCCTTGCTTGCCTTGGGCCCTTGGTCAGCCCACTACCTAATCCACATCCTCCGGAGCCCTGGGGTCTTGGTGCAGTGCCTGCTGTTGAGTTTCATGATGAGCTCTGACTGTAAGGGGCTTTAGGTTGCGTACCCTGTCTGTTCCCCCTGCACCATGTGTCCTGGCTTCACAGGGCTCATTTTCCTTTAAATCTAAATGTGGAACTTAACTTTTCTGCTGGTGATATTTCCCCTTGTCATTCTGTCATTTCAACCCACTGTAACCCAGTAAAACTCCCTTCCTACTCTGACTTTCCCTGCAAAAGAGTTTTCTGACCCACAAGTTATTTTGTTACCTCCTGGTTCTCTGGAACATGTGGACCCTGTTAAAAAATTCTCAAAGCTGTGAGCAAAGCTGCACCGCAGCCCCCTTTCCCCCCTTGAGCCCATGATTTTCTTGTGATTAAGACAAGGGAAAGCGAGGCCAAGAGATAGCTGGTGCACTGGGCATTGTAAATACAGACACCAGTCGCCAAGCAACAGGCACCACACAGAGGTGGTCCCTTGAGATGTGCATGGTGGTGAAGCACATCTGCACCCCCAATACTGAGGGAAGCTGAGGAAGGAAGATGACAAGTTCAAGCCCAGCCTGGGCAACTTAACTGAGGCTCTGTTTAAAATAAGACAAACTGGGGATTGAGCTTTGTGGTAGAAGTGCCTTGGGGTACATTTCTAGTACCACCAAAAAAAAAAAAAAAAAAAAAAAGGAAAAGAAAAAGCACAGCACATGTAATGGTGTAATGCATAATAATAATAACAAATAACAGTGTTATGGGTTTATGTTTATACTCTGCTTTCTTTTATTGTTGTTTTGGCGTGTGCTTCTATTTTTAAAAAAACATACCGTAAAACAGTCTGCCCTGGCAGCAGTCTCATCTGACTCATGTTACCTTAATAGAATCATTTTCTCTTGTGCTTGATTTAGTTGAATGTTGTTTATTCCTCATGGTCCTAGGAGTGATAGGCCAGGCTGTGTATATAGGGGGTTTATAAAATATATATAGCTTAGGTGTAGCCTAGGTGCATAATGGATTATACTATGTAGGATTGTGTAAGTACACTGTGATATTTGCACAGCAACAGAATCACCTAACGACACTTTCTCAGAATGTGTCCCATTGTTAAGTGACACTCGGCTGTGTTACACACTTGGCCTCAACATGTGACTCTGTTCGAACCAAGCTTATGTTCCGTGCAAGGATACTGAGGCCTGATGCGGGGGTGGGACAGAGGATTCTGGAACCCAGGCTCTGGGATTCAGTGTAATACTCTTTTCTTGGTTGGCAATGGGAAGACCCATCCTGGATCAAAGGTCCCTGACACCCCACCTGTCTTCCCTTCAGAGACTGCTGACACAGCCCCTGAGTAGTGATGCTGAAGTAGGTTACTTAGGACCCTTTCGTCATGGAGCCTGGCTCCTGCCCGCATTGTTGCTGTCTGCCCTGGTTGCCAAGGCAGCACAAGTCAGAAATGTCCTTGGTTTTATGGATGGCACCAAAGAATACAGTTGATGTGGTACTAGAGAAAGCAGTCGGCTGGGAACTGGAGAGAGAGCGACTGGCTGGCACCGTGTCTGCTCCCTGCTGTGTCTGTGGGGCAGCAGAGGTTGCTGAAGGCCGTCCTGGGGGGTGCGTGAGCCTGAGAACTTTGGAGTTCAACTTCATCGCCATTGCTGGGAGAGGACTGATTCCCGATTTCCTGATGAGATGCTTAAGAATCCCCAAGATGGGTGCCGGGCATGGTGGCACATGCCCATAATCCCAGCACTTGGGCGGCTGAGGCAAGAGGATCGCTGTGTGTTCAAGGCCAGCCTGGGTTACAGAGTGAGCTCAAGACCAGCCTGAACTGCAGAGTGAAGTCTCGTCTCAAAAACGATAAAAAGGAGTCTCCCAGATGTCAAGATGCAGAGTCTGTTTTTCCTTCTCCTTGATCTTCTGTCTCAGGAGAAAACCAGTAATTTGATTTAGTACAAAGCCAAGGTTATTCTCACCCAGTTCCCACTGTAATGGCAGGTTGGTTTCAAAAGAAAACAATTTCTGGTGCATTACTAGAATACAAAGTAAAGCTCATGTGTTAATTGGTTTCAAAATTCTTATCGCAAAACATCATCTTCATGCTGAGGGAGGAGAGCAGAAGTGTTCCGTGTGTGGAGTGGAAACTGCTGCCTTCAGTGCTGTGCCCAGTGTCAGCAGCTGTGCCCAGTGTCAGCAGCCGAGGCTAATCAGGTGCCCAGCGTGGCCAGAGCGTCTGCAGTGCTGCAAAGGGTCGGTTTAGTAGGCCGAGATGATTTTTCAGCTTTCTGAAACTTTCTGTCTCTGAGCTTTGCATCTTTAAACTTTTAAAGCTTCTCTTGCAAATTCAGGATGATATAAGCAGATAGCAAAAGCTAAAAAGAAAAAAAGTTCCATCAGTTTTTGTTGACTTTTTTATTTTCTTTCTGATGCTGGGAGTGGAACCCAGGGCCTCCTGCACTCTAGGCACATCACCAGCCCATATTTTCTGTTTTTGTTTTTGGAGGCAGGGTTTCAAACTCCTGAGGTCAAGTGATCTTTCTGCCTCAGCCTCTTTTTATCTTTTTTTTGGTACTGGGGATCGGTTTCGGGACCTTGCAGGCAGGGACTATACCTCTGAGCTATATCCCTGGCCCCTGCCCCAGCTCCTTGAGTAGGTTGGGACTACAGGTGAGTGTCACAGTACCTGGTTATCTTTTTTATTTTTTAACTTTAATGAGTTAAAATTGATTAAATGTGACCGAGGCACTGTACTAGACACTTTTGCTACATAGTTCACGCTGGCCTTAAACTGTGTAGCCCAGGCTGGCCTTGGGCTCTTGACCGTCCTCCTGCCTCAGTATCTCAAGTGCTGGGATTACGGGCATGCGCAAGCACACTGGCTGTACTGGACACTTTAAATTTGTAAGACACGTGTTCCTTCTTAAAACAGCGCAGAACTATGTAAATTCACGCGGTGAAAACCAGAAGCCTTCTGGGAAACATGGAGCTAAGGACATATCACGCAAAAACCTTGTCAGCG